TAGGTGACGTAGTATCTTTTTCTCTTAGTCCGAATGTGGTATATCTTTCCATAAATCTATCATTCTTCTCATATTTCAAATTAAAAGCACTTAATAAATCATAATGATCCAATAAACGTAATTTTTCCATTACTAATTCCTCAAAGGCTTTACTCAACAAGTGTGTATTTCTCTCATCCTTCTCATTCAATAAAAATATACGAAAAAGATAAACACAATTGTATTACTATCCACCAGAAATTCAAATGTCATATGAAGAAAAAACTAAAGGCACTCCTCTTGTGAGTGATTTCTCTTATAGGACTTTGTTCTCTATGCACCTTTGTGTAGTATAACTGAACCTCAAGAGCACCTTAATTAACTTTCCATCATTGAAAGCAGTTACTTTTATAATGAATCTGATGTTTTGTGTAAGCAAGGAAACAATCAAAGTAGAGTAGGAGGTGGCTACAACCATTTTGCTGAAAGGTTCTGTTCTTTCTTACAATTCTTTTGTTTAGCTGTATTTATGATCCATATATTCTAATCCTCAATTGAGGGTTTAATTTGATTTCTGATACCATTATGTTGAGTAATATGCTATAACATGTTTTGACATCAGTATATAATAAAAACAGAAGCCATTTACAACGGACCTCATCCTTTCTTCCATACATAATAATGTTTCAAATGCAGTTGCAATTTGTTGCGTGAATATACTAACTCGAGAAAGAAAAAGATCAGTTTTGGATCTACAAAGAGTGAAGTGAGAAATGAAAAGATTGAGTTGTTCGCGATTGAATTTTGGTGCTTCCACGAGACGACTATAAAGTATCATTAACGATGACTTTGTGTTATAAAATATTACAAGTTCATAAAAGTTATTTCTTAAATTCTTCACCCATTTTGTTTGAGAAATTTCAATTTTTACGATTAGAAATATCATTATGAAATTGATTGGATGTGTCAGCCTTTTTTTCAATATTATTTTGAAAATCCCAAAGGAGACATACAATTACTAATATTATTTACAACAATTGTTACTATTATTTGGGAATAATATTTAAGTACGAAGATGAGGAAAAATGACATAATTTAAATTTTTTTCTAGAAACATATGTGTCAAACTTCTCTTCCAATTGAGAATATTGCTTTCAAGCACAACCTTATATCCTACCGCGCAAAGCGATGGTGAATTAACTAGTTCAAGTATAAATTAAGGACTCACATATTGAAAGAATTCACTCACTCTCATAAAGAAACTCATGTGCATCCAAAGGTCGTACCATAGGCTTGCCTGCACTGTAAGTCTCTACTGATTTATGCTCGTAAAGTCTAGTATCAATTAGTTCTTCATGGGTTGTAATGTAGGCAAAAAAATGGGTAGAAGGATAATAGTGACTAACCCTCCTAGAACTTTTAATACACTATACTTTAGCTTTCAAGCACATCCTCTTCATGATTACAAAACAAATTGCTACGAAACCATACATAACACGGTCCATTGACTTTAAGCACTTCTCCATAGTCACTAGCATATTTCAAATCGAATTGGAGGGGTTGTTTTTGTTTTATTATTTTTTTTCTTAAAAAAAAAACTCTTTTCAACACCCTCCATAAGTTGGTGTTTCTAGCTAGTGACCTTCATAATACATATACGTACACCCTTTGGCCTTTCTATGGTTCCAATCAAAAGTTATCAAATCTCTCCCCTTACTCTTCTAGCGAGATAAGTGCTTTTAGAGGTAAAGGTTCTACATGATTTGATTAAGAACAAAGGGGATTCAACTTGTAATGTGGGTGCTGAAGTGTCACGATCCAAAACCCATTATAGGCCGTGTGGCAAACAACGCTTTCTTGAGGCAACCCAACAATTAAATAAATACGTCAATAGTAAATTCAAAATGAATTTCAAAACAATTAAAGAAATAAAAAGTGAAAATCATTCATTTTTATAGAAAATATAAAATGTTCGAATGGGCCAAGATATATACCAAGAAATTATAGCGGAATACAACCAACAACAAAAAATTCCACAATTTCTACCAATTTACATGTCTGAGTCCATATATAATCATTTTATATAACTAACAATGAGTGAGAATCACTTACCTGGTGATAGATGATGAAAATACCACTTCAAAATCGCCCCAAAATCGGATACAACTAAGAAAATAAGATTAAATGTGCCAAAACCCGATTTTAAACTCTTATACACTGCCCAGGCATCCTTCTTCGCGAACACAACATGTGCCTCGCATTCGCGAAACACAACACAACTCGTGCTTCCAAAATCTTCTTTGTGATAGCGAGACAAGACTCGCCAATGCGATGCTTTAACAAGCTGACCCTTCGCGAACGCGACCATGCCTTTGCAAATGTGAAGGTCAAATCTCCAAGCCCATCTTCTCATTTCGTGAATGTAACCCGACTATCGTGAACGCGTAGCACCACAACCTAGACCATTACGAACGTGATTCGCCAATCGTGAACGCAAACTACCTATAGCTCAAATCTTTCTTCATGAATGCGTGCTCCCCACTGTGTTCGCGAAGGACAACACCAGAACCAGCAACCAGCTATAACAAAACACATCATCATGGTCTGAAACCACCTAGCTCGGATTCGAGCTTCGTGATCATATCCGCTTGAACTAAAGCATTATCACGAGCTAAACGGAGTTGAACCTCGAAGACGGGAACTTTAGCCAGGGCGTTCTTCTCCTCTGAAGCCAGAACCTTCGCCCGAGCTCTTAGCTCGTCACAGTCATTCTTGATTCGGTCGGCTTCATCCCGAAAATGTTCCAGGGCCTCCGTCTTTTTCTGCAATTGGAATAAACGAAGTGTTAGCCTCAGAAGCTAAAAGGAGGAACGCATACGCACCCGGGACGGAAAATTACCTGCTCCATCAAGTAGCTCTCATAATTCAAGCTCCGGCACGCCTCATATTGCAAGTATGCCAGCTCGACTTCCTTTTCCTCGCAAAGGAGCCTAAGGGACCTATCCTCGTCCAGAGCTTTCCGGAACCTAGCTCCATGACGGAGCAGCTCAGACCTAAGCCTGTCAAAGGCCTGTAGAAGAAAACTCGATAAGGAAAGCAAGACGCGGGATTCAAAAGGCCTATGTCGAAACTCACCGCAAAGTGAAGCCGGCGGACTTCCTCGAAGACCGAGGGAAAATTTGTTAATCTAGTCCCCTCATCCCTGGAAGAAGCGACTCCGGTCGAGGCACGGCCGCTCGTAGATCTATCGCTTTGTGTCAGATTAATCCACGTATCCTTTAACCCACTTATAAATTCAATTGTTATCCGATTTTGAGGGTAAACAAATACTGTGGATATGGGGTATCTCATTTTTAATCAAATGAATCAAATAAAGCGTTAATACTAAATTACTCCATCCAAGAATTATTAATCCAAGATTATAATCCCGGGATAACTCTATGTTCAAACCAAACCACCCCTTATAGTGTACCTATAACACAAAGCACTGGCAAAAGAGTGATTCTCACTCTTTGTGAATGTGTGATATATATAGTGCATAATGGAGACATAGGCCAATAGGCAATAGTTAGAAGCAACTTAAATATTCGGCCTGTAGCGGTTATCTCTGTTTGAGTAACACAAATGGAGTGTCTAATATGTAAGGGTTAGTTGAAATGCCAAATGAAAATTGGTGTGAAACCTTAAGTGGCTCTGTATATATTTGGCCATATAATAATCATCATTTAATTTTTCAGGTTTTCTTTATTCTTTAAATCTCAAATTTTTCCTAAAAAACCATTTCATGCATATTTACCTCAAAATTTTAAATAATTCAAAACTGACCGCATGAAAAAACTAATTTCTCTTTTTCTTCTACAAAATTTGTATGGGAAGTTACATTTTTTTGCAATTTAGATGAATATAAGGATATTCGAGTATCTCGAAGATTCTAACTTGTATCTTGGAGTGATTGATCATTCTTCTTTTACAGTAAAATTTATAAGACAGAAAATAATATCTGAAAACTTAGTTTGAACTTTAAAAAAGAAAAAAAAAAAAAAAAAGGTGAGTAGGAGATTAGAGACTTTATAAGATTTTGGCTTTCTTATGCTAGATTCTGCATAATTTAAAGGAGCAAATTAGTAGAGTGAACTATAGTTATACCACGAGAAAGTAATTAACTATCTAGGATTCCTTTTTATTTTCTTGAATGAAAAGAGATTTTATCATTTGTAGGAAAAAACCTGTAACTAAAACAAAACTAGTTTAGCACATATTTCCTGAATCCATGACTTATTTGCAATATCTAGTTTAGCAGATATTTAGGGATGAGATAATTCAGGAAGTAACAATCTGAATCCTTGAACCATCTACCTTTTGGCAAAATTAGTTAATTAACTATTCGATGAGTGCAAAGTAAATTTTAGAAATTTTGGAAAATTATAGAAGGGGAAGGAGTCAAATTCATGTGATACAAGGTGATCAAATTGACCTTAGGTTATGGCAAATTTTTAGAAAAGGACATTTAAAGTTTCTGAAAATTAGAAGTTACCAGTTTAAAGTAGAAGATCAAAGCTGATTTAATTTGTCTCATAAACTGTCTGCTCAATATGTTTAAAACATAGCAACATAATATTTCAAGCTTGATTATCACAATAATGATAGTTGCTGGATCAAAATCTGAATCAAGAGCTCAAGTTTCTTAAATCAGAAAATAAAAACATCTGCTCAGAAATCAAGCAGTAATCTTGTCCAACATTCTCAAAAATCAAAAGGAAAATATTTAATAGCCAGCAGAAATGTTGATGTCATTCATGGTGCTCGGCGGCATTCTAGAGGCATTCTCCCTGGTCGGTTTTTTTTCCTCTGCTGCTTTCGCCCATCCATACGAACAGCTCCAGATTTCTCTCGCGATGAGCTCTTATTCCTAATGTCCTGATCCTCTGCAGTTCTGAGATACTTTTCATTATCAGCGAGAGCAATTTCAGCAGGGTTTTGATTTAAAAGGCAAGGAGGATTCTTTTTTGGAATAATAGAGACAGGCAATACAGTAGTTATAGGGGTACTGCTGTCTAATGACCTGGAAGCATTTTCAGTCTGCAACGAATGCACCATTGAACTTGATGTACCAACAACTTCTCGAGTGCTCCGCCAGAGGCCACTTGAACACACAGATTGCTGCAAATTTCTTCCGCCAAGTTGCACCGGTGCATGAGATACTTGATCTGTAAATTAGAATATCTTTCATTTACATGAAACAGTAAATGGACCAAACAGGAGGTAAAACTGCATATGAATTTGAAGGGAATTGAAGTTTACCATTTAAGTACGTAAAAGGCTGTTGTGAGCTATTACCAGCAGTATAACCACCAATGCGAACACCAGAAGACTCCTTGGGATGATGACGTGATAAGAATGATCCATCGTGAACACTTTGGTTTCCATCCATGTAAATCCGCGGGGGATAGTTGCAGGCAGAGAAAGATTGCTGTTGAACCACATTGAAAGCAGGAGGTAATGGAGTTGTTTGATCCACACGACCGAGTAACTGCAATGCTGGTATGGTCTCACTAGAATAAGGATTTGAAGTTTGATGCCACTTGCTCTGGCTTTCAGAATCCATACTCTTTATGTCACTGATAGTCCTCCCTTTCGGATGGAGATATTTTTGTCCAAACAATATGCTCTGCTGCCTAGTGGGAAACCCTCCAGGTTTTGATCCTTCACCATGTTGCGACCCCCATCTGATGGGAACAGGAGCAGAAACTTGCCCTCCGTTTGATGGTTTCTGCTGACTTTGTTTTAAATTGCCGAACAGTTTGAACTGTGGCTCCTGAACCTGAGTCATCTCAGCGCTGTTCACTTTACCATTAGATAAGTGGGGGATATAGCCTCTGCATACTCCAACATCAGCATTTACATTTGCATGAACTGGATGAAAACCGGTTAAACTAGGATTTAACCATGTAACTGCTCCATTATCATTTCTTTCAATCACTAAATTACTTCTGGTCAGGGGAAGACTCCTTTCATGGTTGTTGTTCAACAGCTCTACAATCTCAATTGGCCTTTTTTCAACAACCTTCTTAGACTGATGACTTCTATGCAGCTTAATTACAGATGACGAACCTTGAACTCCATTAAGGTTTGCGTTTCTGCAAGGCTGAGGCGTTTCCTGTAAGTGAATTCCAGTGAGTTGACAGAATAGAATTTGAGCTAATAATTTGCATTGAGTTATTTGGAAACTTAAAAGACACAAAATTTAAACGAAAAGTGGGATATTCCTCATTGAACTCTACTTCAGCCAAGTGATATCTATTAAAACCAAGTGAGATGTAGCAAATACACATAAAAAACACAAGCCACTTAGCTTAAACTAAAAATGAAATGGATAGCCACACCAATTAGACACAACGATACTTACCATGCTTTTACTTACAGTTTCAAGGCAGTGTCCACTTTATCTGCAGGCATTAAAATACAGACAAGAACTACACTAGAAAACTACAAGAGCTATCAGCTTTAGTTTAGCCACTGAGTAAACCAAATAAAAGCAATAGCTCTAAGATACATCGTAGAAATTTGGTAACGGTAAGTAATACTTCAAGCACGGTTGTAAAAGTACAGAAATGTGTGAAGGGGCTAGGGGAAGAGGAAACATAATCTTCAGCAAAAAGTGGAAATACTCAAAGATAACACCAAGAAAACAGAAAAAAAGACAGTACCATTCGGTTTGGCATTTGAATATTTCCCCTTTGAAGCGGATCAGGTGAGATTTGAATCTGTTGCCACACTGATGATGTTTGATACATTCCCTGGTTCAGGTCACAAATCACTCCTTTCCTCGAAGATTGGCCTGATTCAGACACATTTGACTGTCTTACAAGAGAGTTCACGCCTTTCCACAAAGATTGACCTGACCCAGGCACATTTAACTGTCTTACAAGAGAGTTCACTTCTTTCCCCGAAGATTGACCTAATTCAGACACATTTGACTGTCTTACAAGAGCGTTCACGCCTTTCCTCAAAGATTGGCCTGATTCAGATACATTTGACTGTCTCATGAAAGAGTTATCTTTCGGATCACAACTCTTACTGCTATTTTGTAGACTCAACTGCCAATTTGTCCTGTTTTTGCTTTGGATAATATCATTTTCAACACGTTTCTCAGCATCCTTGGATCTGCTCAAAGACAGGTCTAACTTCGCATTAGCAGATAACTCATTTTCTAGCTGAGAAGTCACCACTCCCATACCAGTCGGCATTTGTACAACATCATTCCTCGAACTTTCTCTTTGCAAATTTTTGTCTTGAGCTACATTCATAGGAGAAGAGGCATTTCTAACTTCAAGCAAGCATAAATCAGAGTTTCTCTCTTTTCCATGCAATGACTCATTCCTCAAATGAGTTTCAACTTCTTCAGCGGTGGAAGCATTTGAAGATTGAAAGAGAATGTTAGCACCATCATATCCATTTGTGCTAATACCAGTGCTTTTCCCCTCCGGGAGCATTTGAGGAGAACTTCCACTGACAAGTTGATCCTTCTTATGTTTCTTTTTATTTACTCTAGAGTCCTTATGATCACTTCTATGCTTTATTTTCGCACTTTTGCTGCGACTCTGTGGACGTTCTTTGACTGATCCATTCTCAATTGCACGTGAATCAGAAACTTCAATCTCCATAGAACTCCTCCTCTCAGCTTTTTTATTGAAGGCCTTGGATCTTTTAGCCATCTTACCATCTAAGTTCATCTCTGACTTGCGGTTATCTTCTTGAGACGTCCTTCTCTTCTTCTGAGAAGTCTTGTTACCCTTTCTAGCATCCTTAAGAAATGATACCTTATCCTTAGGTGCACCAACTGTATCTTCATCAGAAAGCACTATGGGCATGGTATTTGCCGAACATCGTTCTGCATTGGCACAATTCATCTCCAAATTGGCATTTTCACCCAGCAATATCTCAGCCAACAAGCGCAACTTACGAGTTTTCCTGCGCGGTATGTCATTTGCAATATCCTCATGCAAATCACATTGACTATTTACTGCCAAATTTTCATCACTTCCCTTAGATGTTTCAGTGCCCTCTATCAATTCAACAGAAGGTGATCTATTCAAATTCACATTGCTCATATTAAGAACTCTTTCTTGGCTACCAAGTACTTCTATTTCATCTGAAGTGATTGAAGGAGTTTTCTGGTCAACATTTTGCGAGCCTATTTCTATCTCTGGATCAATATCATAAGGAACTTCTTCATCACTTTCATCATTTGACTCAGAATCCGCAATCTTTGTATTAGCAGCTGTTTTCAAAACCAAAAGCATCGTTGTCAATCATAACAGTAATGAACAAGCACAAATTAAAACCTAAAGAAAATATCATATTGATACACACAAAACAATGCTCTTAAATTACCTGGGCTCTTTGTTTTTGTTTCTTGAGTTGAGCATTGCTCAGTAGCTGGATTGCCAGTCTCCTCTTCTCTAACACTTCTGGGAACTGGGAAATACACAACATATTTTCAAGTTAAAAACAGCTGAACAAATAGCATTATAAATGTACATCATACCAATAGAAATATTGCATATATAATATATTACCAGCTTTGACAGTCGTATTTTGAACTACAGTCCATTTCTCTTTACTGCGTTTCCATGACAATATGTAGTCATTATCATCAGTATCAATATAATCTTCCATAATCGCTTTGTTTTTGTCACCTTTCCGTGAATCGGACACGTGCTTCATCTCTGGCAATAAATATTGCACACCACTAGTAGAGGCCTTATGTACACACATTTCGTCTCCTGCACCTTCAGCTCCCACCTCACTGATGCACTTCTTACATCGCCACGACTTAAATTTGGGAATGTCTATAGGAGGAAGTTGATCCTCGGGCTTACTACTTGATCCAAAGGGTGAACAAATTTTCATGTCCTTCTTTCTCATCTCAGCTACATATCCACTGTATCAGAAAAATAAAAATAAAAAAGATTAGGGACTCTTGAAAGCAATTAAGAAAATAGAATTTGGATACTCCACAATATATAAATGGGAAAAGTTCCTTGTCTGGTTGATGGCTTAATAGATGGTCATTCAACTTGTAAAATTGCCATCAAAATCATATAATTTTGTTTTGTTTTTTAAAAATTAGATTTTTAAAATTGATGCCTTAATACATGGTCATATCATTAGATTTTTCAGATCCTATTTTAAAAATTATGTTATACAAAATTTAAAAGCTAAAATAAACTACTTAAAATAAATTAAACACTCTTATGTAAACAGCAAAACAAATTTCTGAAAGTTAACATTCAATAGATGATTATAAAGACACTTGAAAAAATTTAAATAAATTTAACCATTCTATTATAACTCATCAGGTTATGCTCTCAACTACTTAGAATTATTGTTCTTCAACTATTTATAGTTTATATGATATTATAATTTATTTTTTAAATTTTTTACCATTAGGCTCTAAGTCAAGTGCAAAGTAATTGAAAAGTTCAATGATATAAATTATTATCGGAAAAATCCAGTGATACCTATTAATCTTTTCACAGTTTGTTTAACTTTAACAACACTTCTTGTAAAGTCCTGGAGTCCTAAAAAATTTTTTAAATATTTCTCAAAGGATTAACAAATTTTTCGTTTCTAATATTCACTAGATTTGATATATTTTTTTAAATTTGATGTAACACAACTTTTGAGATGATAACTGAAAAATCCAATGATATAAATTATTTGTCCAAAATACAAAAACTTTGGTAAACTACAATTGTATATAGAGCACATAAGATGTTAAAGTCGACCCATATGTGTGGGACAGGTCAGGTATTGGGTAAATGGGTGGGCTGGGTTTTAAAATAGTTCAAGTTTTAATTTTTTTTTTCATAAAACAAATCTCACCAGAAAGTATAAAATCCAGCAAGAATGACCATTTAAGTGAACTAGGTAAAGTTGAATGATATTGAAAGAAAAAGAAAGTTATATGACTTTGATGGCCAATTTTCCAAAGCTGAGTGACCATGTGAGCCATCAACCTCCTAATTTAATGGAGGAGTATCACAGGTAGAGTTTTGCATCCGTTTAAGAATTTTATTTGATACTTCATAGGCACCATGATTTTATGCTCATTAAATCATGCTAATACAAATAATTAATTTATTTTTGATCAATTAAGCAGCAGAAAGAGTGAAAAGGAATATTAAAAAAATAGAAATTTTGGTAACTAATTACAGAAGATAACAAATTACAAATTGGAGACTGACCGTATCGAGAAATGGTGACAGTTCTCTTTCTCTTTCACTGGCATTGGAAGATTAAGATCAATAGATATTCCTCCAATAGGTAAGAGCTGCGATCCCGATGATTTGGACACACAAGTATCAGAATCACTTCCTTCCACTGATGGGGCACTCTTCTCCATGTAAATCACTACATAAAATGATGAAAAGATCCAGTCAATAAGTTGGAGAAACTATACACAAATATTATTTGAATCAAACATAAACATGTCAAATCTATATGTGATTAATTCGTATGCACCTTTAAATTTAAAGCTATGTCATCTAATTAATCTAATGTAATCCACTACATTTAATGTGATAATTATGATATGATAACACACATTAATATACTCCATTTAGCGAATAAGTGTGAAAGCCTTTAATGGAAGAAACCCTAATTCTCAATGACGGAAAAAACTATTCATTTCATCAACTCATCATCGAATCAGCATGCGTTACAATCAAGCAAATGCACTGAATAAGCTCAATGAACCTAAAAAGAACCATATGCCGATAATTTGAAGCTACTTTATTTAGGATTTTCTAAATCATTTACTTTCCCGTCAATTAACTTGAAAAGGTGGAAATTTCTTTTTTATCATCAGGACTTCAAAGATTCACATAAAATTATGGTAACACAATCAATCTACGCTAAATCCACATTAGATCTAAGCAAAATCATTCACAAAAACAACTTGATAGCCAAATTAGAGGTTTGCCAGTCGCCGACCATTTCGATATACCCAAAGGATAAACCCCACTACCAGAAGCGCAGTAAAAACCATAAGTAAAACAAACCCAAAAAAAGAAAGTACAGATAAATAAATAATCCAACCAGAACAAAATAAACAAAAATAAATAAACACAAAAGAATGTACATTCAAAATCATTTCAAGGAAAGGTATAAAAATAATCAGCAAAACAGATGAGCTAAAAAAACCGCGTGAAAAATAAAGAAGACAAACACTCAAGTGAAAAAATCAATCAGAAATGTACAAAAAAAATATATATCTTCACCTGAATCAAGACCTCGGATCAGAAGAACACCCACTTTTAGACCAAGAAAGAGTTTGACAAAAAACTAATTAAGAGCTAAAGACACCCAGAAAGGAATGTTGGATGGATTCAAAGATGTCTGAATAGAATGTGAGGGAAAAATCAAGAGAAAACCTCTTAAGTTTAATCTTAGGTTTGAGAAAATAAATGAAATTCCAAAGAGAGGGACAGGGGGGAGGGGGGAGGGGGGGAGTGTGTGAAACACTTAGACAAATGAGAGAGAAAACATGACATAAGAGAAATGAAAGGGGGAAATAATTATACAATAAAAATAGAGGCACAAAGACTGGCTTTATATAGGAGGAATGAACTGCAGAGGTTTTAAAGTCTATGTTATCTCTTCTTAAAAATATGTATTGTTGTAATCTATACACTTATTACGTGTATCTCTCTTTTTTCAAATTTGCATGAATGCATGAGAGAGAAATCACCAGCCAATCAGGTGATGACACGTCAGATGTTCTCACGCATATGCTGAGGTGTGTGACATGTAACATGTGACTGGTGGAGAAATTGAGGAATAAAACCCTAAAATTTTGAGACTGCAGCGATAAAAACAGAAAGAGAAAGTGAAGAGTGGGGATAACCCTAATACATACTCTTTATATATACAAAAATGGGCAGGTATATAACTTACTCAATATATAATAATTAAAAAAATAAAAGTAAAAATTGAATAACTTACTAAAGAAAAAAAAAGGTAGAAAATAAGTGGGATCCTATTGAAAATAAGGCAAAATATTAAACTATTAGGATCATCAGAATCCAACCTTTGTGTAATTTATTATTTTTCCTTTTTTGTATAACAACTTGTTCTTTTCTTTAGTTGTACCTACTTCTCTTATAATATCTTTTCAGGATTTCTAGTTTTTTTTTTTTAAAACGAAATCAAGGGTTTTATGCTATATACTGATCACTTCTACTACTCTGAACAATAATATGGCAAAAATAGGGTTTCACATAATGGTAGAGTTATTTTCCCCTTTATGTAAAAGTAGAGTTTTTGCTCAACTATATTGTGGTTGCTATGTCCATAATTATAAAAAGAGAATTTGAATTTTGTTTTACGTTATAAGTGAATTAAGATCCTATAAAATACTAATGATTTTGAATATAGATAGGAGAAAATTAAAAACAAGACAAGTATTGACAGACCAACATGATCTGTATATAGTAGATCGAAACAAGATTGTGCGCATTAATTTTAAAGTATTTTAAAATTTAAAGTATATGTTCTTTTAACAAAAACGAAAAACGAATCAGAATGTAAAGCTTCCACCGATAGAAGATAAATGATGAAATTACCGATTATAAACGGTTTATTCATATTAATTGTTTCTTTGACTTACATTTTTTACTTTTTATCTTTGCAGTGGTCAGTAGTTTGACACAGCTAGGATCCCATTCGGCGTGCATCATCATTTTACATTTGCTCTTTTCAGCACTATTGCCAGTTGGCACGATAAAATGCTGAAAAAATCATATTCTTTTTTATCATTGATAAACATGCGTTCAAAAGGAATTTCATTTCAACGATATGATAAACATGCGTTCAAAAATCAACGATGAAAAGATATAAAAAGATGATTTTTTTCTCCAACGATATAATAAATATTTTTCTCCAACAATAGAAGATAAATGATGAAATTAGCAATTGTAAACGGTTTATTCATATTAATTGTTTCTTTGACTTATATTTTTTACTTTTTGTATTTGCAACGGTCAGTAGTTTGACACAGCTAGGATCAGATCTCATTCGGCGTGCATCATCATTTTACATTTACTCTTTTCAGCACTATTACCAATTGGCACGATAAAAATGCTGAAAAAATCATATTCTTTTTTATCATTGATAAACATGCGTTCAAAAGAAATTTCATTTCAACGATATGACAAACATGCGTTCAAAATTCAACGATGAAAAGAAATAAAAAAGATGATTTTTCTCCAACGATATAATAAATATTTTTCTCCAACAATAGAAGATAAATGATGAAATTAGCGATTGTAAACGGTTTGTTCATATTAATTTTTTCTTTGACTTGCATTTTTTACTTTTTATGTTTGCAATGGTCAGTAGTTTGACACAGCTAGGATCCCATTCGGCGTGCATCATCATTTTACATTTGCTCTTTTCAGCACTATTGCCAGTTGGCACGATAAAATGCTGAAAAAATTATATTCTTTTTTATCATTGATAAACATGCGTTCAAAAGGAATTTCATTTCAACGATATGATAAACATGCGTTCAAAAATCAATGATGAAAAAATATAAAAAGATGAATTTTTTCCAACAATATAATAAATATTTTTTTCCAACGATAGAAGATAAATGATGAAATTAGCGATTGTAAACAGTTTATTCATATTAATTGTTTCTTTGACTTATATTTTTTACTTTTTGTATTTGCAACGGTCAGTAGTTTGACATAGCTAGGATCGGATCCCATTCGGCGTGCATCATCATTTTACATTTGCTCTTTTCAGCACTATTGCCAGTTGACACGATAAAATAATAAATTACACAAAGGTTGTTTTCATTTTATTTGTAATAATTTTAAATTTTCTACTACCATGTCTTTTCACGATAATTTACTTTAATTTTAGGGGCCGTTTAGTTTACAACTAGTTACACATGCATAAATTATAATGTAGAAACCATCTACACAATAAATAAAAATTTGGCAGTTGTTGAGTGTGTATTGTTGTATAATGATTAATGAAGATTGAGACGGAATAAGTGTGAAAATTCAACTATAACCCTGATCTTAATTATTATTTCTCGGAACAAGATGAAAATTCATACTACTAATTAAAGAGGTGGAAAATGGCTCAAATCGAGGACATCTTCTATGGTTTGAGGGCGCTTTTACAAACAATTTTTTTTCCACTTGGAAACTAATTAACATTTCATTGTTTAATTTCAGCATGCGAAAAAAATGGTATTAATGTATTTTCTTCACTGCAGCAAATAGTCTGTCTTTTGTAGAAGAGAAAAACTGCATTGATATCCTCTCCAAATCAAATATGTCAATCCGTCGACAAATATAATTTTTACGACAAATTTCTTTTGGAAAAATTGATGTGTGTTTCGTTGGTATAACTATCTTATTACTCAGTGAATACTTAGGGATTTCAATAACCATATTGTGCATCCTAATTAAATTGCTTTTATAAATGACTAGCCGTGTTATATAAATTGCAACTCGGTTGAAATTTTTTTAAATTACCAAACACATATAAAAGCAGTTGAGTTTTACTTATATAGAATTTATCTTCATTAAAAGGCTAAAAGTAAATTCCAATATCTTTATTCTCAGAATTAGATTATCTTCATTAAAAGGCTACAAGTAATTTATTATTTTTCTTATTTTGTATATCGACTTGTTCTTTTCTTTAATTACTTATAAGAGAAGTACTTCTCTTATAATGCCTTTTCAGGATTTCTATTTCTTTATAAAGATCAAGTGTTTTATGCTATACACTGATCACTTTTACTACTCAGAACAATATGGCAAAAATAGGGTTTCACATAATGGTCGAGTTATTCTCTCCTTTAAGTGAAAGTGGAGTTTTTCGCTCAACTATATTGTGGTTGGCTATGTCCATAATAAAAAAGAATTTGAATTTTGTTTTATGTTACAAGTGAATTAAGATCCTAAAAAATGATGATATTTAATATAGATAGGAAAAAATTAATAAGACAAGTGGTGACAGACCAACATGATCTGTATTCAATAGATCGAAACAAGATTGTGCAGATCGATTATAAAGCATTTTAAACTTTAAAGTATATGTTCTTTTAACAAAAACAGAAAACGAATCAAAATGTAAAGTTTCCACGGATGGAAGATAAATGATGAAATTACTGGTTGTAAATTGCTTTATTCACATTATTTATTAATTTCTTTGACTTTTATTTTTTACTTCTTGTATGTGCAACGGTCAGTAGTTTGACAGCTACGATCTCAATCGGCGTGCATCATCTTATTACCTTTGTTCTTTCCTGCACCATTGCCAGTTGGCACGATAAAACACAGAAAAAATCAAATTTTTTTAATCAATAATAAACATGCGTTCAAA